TATGGTCTACATCCAACATAGCAGCCAGAGTGATCCTGTTAAAACTGAAGTCAAATGGTGTCACTTGTCTGTTTAAAACCTTCTAGTGGGCTCCCATTTTACTCAAAGTAAAATGAAAAGTTCTCACAACAGCCTGTAAGCCCTAAACAATCTGGTCCCTCTCTAACCTCTTTGATTTCCTCTCCTCCTGTTGTTTCCTTGCTCTGGTGGCATTCAGCCGCTAACCAAAAGGTCAATGGTTCAAACCCACCAGCTGCTCCACAGGTGAAAGATGAAGCAGTCTGCTTCCATAAAGATTTACAGCCTTGGAAACCCTATGAGGTTCACTAGGAGTTAGAATCAACTTGATGGCAGTGAGTTTGGTTTTTGTTGTCTACTTTGATCACTCCACTCCTGCCATACTGACCTCCTGGTGCTCCTTCAACGGACATACTTCTGCCTCAGGGCCTTTGCATTCACTGCCCATTCTGTTTGGAATGCTCTTTCTGGAACACTCTTCTCCCAAAAACTCTCATGGTTCACTTGCTCATCTGCTTCAAATTTCCTTAGAAGTAAAGATGGTTGAGACTTCATCTTCCTTACTTTGGACATGTTATTAGCAGGGACCAGTCCTTGGAGAAGGACATCATTCTTGGTAGAGGGCCAGCGAAAAAGAGGAAGATCCTCAATGAGATGGACTGACACAGCGGCTGCAACAACAGGCTCCAACGTGCTATTGTGAGGATAGTCCAGGACCCAGCAACGTTTTATTCTATTACACATGGGTCATTATGAGTCAGAACTGACTTGACAGCACTGAACATCTCCCTCTCACCCTGCCATAATTCTCAATTCCCCTTATCCTGCTTTTTTATTTTCCCCCCAGAGCATTTATCACAACCAAGTTTATAATCTACTTATTATGTCTTTTGTCAGGCTCCCCTCACTAGGATGGAAGCTCCACTGGGGCAGGAGGTGGTGATGTTGGCCTCCCTGTAACTTCTCCCATGGGTCTTAACTCTGCACTTGGAACTCATGCAGACCTCCTCTTCGAGACGGCTCTCCCGGTTGCTCTATTCTCTGGAGGTCTTGCATTTCTCTCCCATTGCTCCTCACGTGACGCTCGCTCTCCTCAAGTATACCCTTACCTGTCAGGATCCCCTTGGAAGTTAGTAAAAAATCTTTGGAGGTGGACAGAGAAAAAACGGAGAAATTTCAGAAGGGAAGAAGACAGAGATCAAGGAAGAGGGACCTGTTGAGTTCTCACAGAGGCCATCTGACACTGGACAACTCCACTGGGAAATTCCCTACATCTACCTTCCTTCCTCCAAGCAGCTTAATAAACAGCACAATCCTCAGGATTCCTGTTTTCCAGAGAAATCCAGTTAGTCTACAGGGTGAGCACCAGCTCCAGAACATGACAGTAATTGGCAAAACAGATTCTGCATGAAGCCTAGCAGATGCGGGAGATCTGGACACCACATTTGAGATTATGCACTGCCCTCCCCACCCTAGCAGTGAGCAGCTGATGTTATTTCTGGCTCTCAGCCCACATCTCAGTAGGGAGGCCAGTCCATAGCATGAGCCTGGAGTTGTGGGGTGTTTGGGCAGCACAAGAGGCCTCGGACACTCCACAGACAAAAGGAAGCAAAGCCTGCCCGAGCCAGAGACCAGGAACTATAGAGTGAGAAAGCCCCATGGTCTACAGCAAGAAGAGGCTTCTGCAGAACCTCAGGCCACACAGCCTCGCAGGATTGCCAGTCAGTCCAGGTAAGCAGCCCCACTCTGTTCTGCCTTCAGTCTGGTAGCTATGAGTCACTGACTCATAGCTTTGTCCACTGCGTTCATTCTGCATTTTCAGCCTCCATTTCAGCAGGGGATGACTTCTCAGTCAAGTCAAAGTCTGATTTGCTGGAGAGACCAACATGTCATGGTGCCCTGGGAATATTAAATAATATTTACAAGGGGTGATGATGGGAAAATAATTACTGGTGGTAAGAGGCAATCAATGGCAGGGAACTCCTGCACTGCTCCAGCGGGGAGAAATTAGAGCGAGGCCTGGAACAGTGACAGTTTGTCACAGGGACTGCAGAAGGGGATGGAAAGTCGCTACCTCTGCCGATTTGTTAATAGGATAAGCCAGCCTTGCAAATAAGAGCCAGACCCCAGGAGGCCTGTATTTGAAGGGTTTTAAAACCAGGCCAAGTCCTGCCAATAGCTTCACTTTTAGATGTTAGAACTAGAAGGGAGCTTACAGATCAGCAATGTCACTGGTTCTCAGTTTAGAAGGCTCCTGCCTTCCAAAAATACTGCAAGTATTAAGTAATAATTACCGTATTTTTCACATATAATGTACCCATATAAATAACATACACAGGCATATAATGTACACAGCGCACTTAGGAAACGCAGAAGGGTTGCAAAAAACTGCATAGCGTGTTATTTGTGTTTAAAAGCTATATATACGGTAATGTGTTTTCACATTTTTTTTTTCCCCAAAGTCAGAGAGGACTAACTGCCAGCTAGGACAAGTAGGAGAACTGGAGTTGATGTTACACTAGCTCTAAACAACAGACCTATTGTTTTTTGGTCAGTCCAGCCACATTACCCTGTGTAAATGTACACTTTTTTTCTTTTGAAAAAAAATTGAAATAGCTCAATGGTCCACTTTTAAGTACCTGGGAAGAGCCTGGAGAATCTTTATCAGAAACTCTGATTCCAAGTCAATGCTCTTATTTACACAAAAGGAGACTGAGGCCCAAAGAATCTAAGTAGCTTGCCTAAGGCCACACAGTAGGCTGCCCATAGTAGGGTCAAGCGATCTGGAGGAGCAGGGTTGAGGGAATGATACCTGGACAGGCAAGGGCCGAGCAGAAGTAAATCATAGTAATGGAAGGCAGTGGCCTGAAGTGGGCCATGGACACCATTAAACTTGAGCTTGACTCTTGTCCTCAACACTTACCAGCTATGTAACCTTTGCAAAATGACTTAAGCTCTCTGAGCCCACCTTTCTCATCAGTAAAATGGGGACAACAGTACTTACCACATGATTGTTGTGAGAAGTGAAGTAACAGAGCACTTAGCAAATAGTACCTACTTTTCTTTAACTCTTGGTTTAAGCGTGTGTGGGGGGAGGGATATCTGTGTAGAAAGAGGAAGACTGACAAGTTTGAAAAACCAGGTCACATGCTCCAACTTCCAGATGTTGCCCTGACCATGCCCCATTGGCACTCTTGGTACTAACTGCAATACTGTTACTTCCAGATGTTTCTAGAATTCAGTGTGCTTAGGAACACAGGCCCCATCAGCAGTGTGCTTAGGAACCCATGCCCCATCCAGATTCACCTCTAAACCCCTATAGGGTGGGACATGGTAATCTGTACTTAAAAAAATTCTTATTATTGAGATATAATTCACACACCATAAACTTAACCCCTTCAAAGTGTACACATCTGTGGTTTTTAGTACACTCACAAAGTTATACAACTATCGCCAAGATCTAATTCCAAAACTTTTTCATTACCCCAAAAAGAAACCCATACCCATTAGCAGTCACTCCCCATTCCACAATCCCCTTTCCCTGGCAACCACTAATCTACTTTCTGTCTCAAAGGAGTCACTTACTCCGGACATTTCATATAAATGGAATCATATAACAGATAGCCTTTTGTGTCCAGTTTCTTTCACTTATCACAGTGTTTTTAAAGTTTACCCACATTGTAGTGTGTATCGTACTTCATTCCTTTTCAATATGCACTTTCAACAAGCTCTCCAGGTAGTTTTGATCAGTGAGCTTTGGGGAAGAAAAGAATAGCAAACTCACACAAGGTGAAGCTGTAGGTTACCATGAAGACATGGGGTTTCTTTCCATCTTTGGGGTGCTCCTGTCTCAGCTGCCCATGGGTAACATGAGGCAATGCAGCTGCTGGCCACCTCGGGACTGCAGAGGGCCAGAGCAATGTGCTGGACAGGGTCTCTGGGGCACTCAGGAGGGAAGAGATGTGAGTCTATGGGCAGTGGCCTGGTTGCTCTAAGAATTGGACAGATTAACTCAAGAGAGACTCATACAGGGGATTTAGTCTAAATGTAAACACTTTAATGTACATTATGCTCTTAGGAAAAAGAAAGAATGCAACAAACAAACATCTCCAAGGAAACAAGTGGAACTGAAAGTCTTAACCAGTGGGGATTCTCATTCAAAACCTGGTATGAGCCCCAGCCTTGGAAAATAGCACAGTGACTTGGATCCATAGTACAGCAGTCTGAGGTCAGGGTGGCAGGGCCTGTGTACCTGTCTAAAGATGCAACTCTGCCCACACAGCATGATGGGCACACCCTCAGGACTCCCGGAAACTGGGAGCACTGATCACTCCAACAGCTGACAATTCCACAGCTGGGCTGGGGAGATTTAGGTTGGCCAGGTCATCTCCAGAATGCTGATGAAAAGGCACAAAATTTCAATAGGCCCTCAAGCCTGCCCAGGGCAAGAACCTTTCTTTCTGGTACTGAATTTCTAGGTCATAAGAAACAGTCTTGGTGGCTCTGGCTCTGGTGAGGAATGGGGATATATGGCAGAGGTTTGCCAAGTCCCGCTTTGGGGTTCAAGGCCTTAGAATGAAACAGATGGGAAGTATATGGAACCACCAAGGCCCCTGAGGCCAGACACCACACTAGTCTTGAGAATAGACATTGAGGCCTCTGAACCGGAGAATGGGAGTTAGCGGGAAAAAGCCAGAGCTGCCCACTTGTCAGACTCAACCTTCTCCCCAGGCTAGGTCTCCTAAGAGGTCACATGTCCACATTTTCTGTGATGTACCCTTATTCAACAAGGGGTGGGCAGAAATCCTAGCTCGTCTTCCCATTACCCTCTTTTTAACTTTTAAAGTCACCGCTGACAGCTCAGACACCACGGGCAGTCCGGGGTGTCTTGCTCTCTAACCATCCTATGGAATAAGCACTTAGTCCTCCTGGGCTTTTGGTTCAATTCAATTTCTTCTCATTCAGAAGGAACTGGTTGCTGCTGAAATTCAGTCAGGTTAGCACCAATGCCAGGCTGATGGGGAACCCACGACATGCCTTCAGGATGAGTACAGCCTCTTTTGAGTACAGCATTGAAGGAACTTATTTATTGATGAAGGAAGGAACTGTGGTTCCATCTCTGCAGAGTCTGATGGGATCGCTGCCCTGGCAGGTCCCGGGATAGAAAGTATAGTGCAGAGGCCAGTAATGCAGCCATATGGGAAGGGCCTCCCGTGGCTGAGTGTTTCCAGAGTTAGCCAGTCTTGATGCCCTCCGGGAGCTCCACCACCACTGGGGCACAGTCCTCTGGCTCTGCGTTAAAGTCCCACCGGAACTTCTTGGTCAGGTGAGCTTGGAACTTTTCAGCTTTCTGCCTCAGGGTGGCATCCATGGCAACACTGCAGGCTGAGGAAAAGAAAACCTACAGAAAACAGAGGATAAGTCACTCCTGAGAACACAGAGGGGGACGAGAAGGCTGTGGAAATTTCCGCATGGTTTTCAGCTCTCTGGGGCGGGTGGATCAGCTGCTGCTGGCGTGGGCCCAGGACACCTGCTGTGCTCCCCCAAACCAAGAAAAAAGGTCCAAACCCAGCTGAGAAGCCAGGGAAGGACTAGATGGAAAATTACCATCCTGAGCACATGTGGGTTTGAACCCACATGTCTCACTTGTGGGAACCCAAGAGAACCCTCTTCAGAAATGTCTCCCTGAGGGTCTCCATGCCCAAGCTGGCAAAGACAGCTCCCAATCTGTTGGCAAAGACAGGGCCCAGCCTCAGAGGGTATCTCCAAGTAGAGTCTTTGACACTGAACAGTGAGCAGCCACTCTGCTAGAACCTGGACTAGAAGCTTTGCAATTTAATACCAAGAGTAAGGCCAATGGGGGCCACCACCCTGGCGCTGCCCCTGGGATCTCCCAGGACATCCAAGCAGTAACTCAGAGGAAGAGATAATAGCTATACCAGCTGGTACTAAGACAGACTTGGGGCTTATAAGTCCCTGGAGCCTATAAAGTCCCAGATCCCAAGTCAATGAGGTTCAACTGCTGCTCTAATCTTTGAAGTAGGCCACAAGCTGCCTATTTGAGGCTTCTCTTCCCCTTAAAAGTTGTCTCCAAGGTTCTTTTTAATTCAGTTTCCTCTAATACAAACATAGACAGGGGGGCAAGAATAGCAAGTTTCTCTACATCTGAAACCTTCATTCCAGCTCATCCTGGATCCCAACCCTTTCTAAAAATAACAACAAACCCACTACTCCTTCTTATATATTGTTTTACTGTTTTCAAAGAAGTTTCTCAGAATATCCCACTGGATCCACACTGTCTTGCGAAGACACACCAGAACGTGTATCTTAAGGAAAATGAGGCTGTGAGGAATTAAATGACTGGATCAAAACTATGCAGAAAGAAGTATGGTTTTTCCCAGACTTCCTATCGGCTACCAAGGACCACCCCACTGACACAGGAGCAGGAAGGGAGAAGCGACTCTTTGATGGCCATGGTCCTCATGCCACAACTGACTCTCAGTGCACCACGGAACAATTCTGGGCTTTAAGAGACAAAGGCAACAGGCTTACTCTGCAGCTGATTCCAAAGACAAAACCTCTGCCACCCTCTTCTCCAACGTCTGTCTGTTAGCAGGAGGAGTAAGCCACTCTCAAAGAGAGCCACTCTCTCTTTGTTTGGAGCCATTTTGTTGGAGTGGTAGCTGGGGCAGAAGTGACAGAAAAGGGGAAGGCTACAGAATTAGGCTTCAGGTACTTGGGAATCCACTACAGGAGCAGGAGGCACAGCCACCACAAAATGTCAGATCTATAACTAATTAGAGGGTCTGTGTGATCTGAGTCGTGCAAGGGCAGCATGGAGAACCAGTGGCCTGTCTGAAGGCAGCTAATGGAGCCTGCCCTGGAGGCTGAATTTGGAGGATGGCTGAACTCTGGGGAGGGACCTGTTATGGCAAGCAGAGAAGCCTTGGTGACAAATAGCATTAGCTCTGGAGGCCCTAGATACCTATGGGTCTGTCCCCAGAGGCCTTAGTGGGATGACTTAGCAAAAGTTTCTTCCTGATCCCCTCCTTACACAGTACATTACACTACTCTCTACACAGCCCTTCCTCTCCAGCCATGTGGAGTAGGAGCCCAAACACACTGCTGCCTCCTTCAGTGCCTCTTCGCACACACAGCTATCCTTGTGTTTAGAACACCCTTCCACTCTCTGGTTTCTCCTCCTTCACCTGGGCGACTGGGTAGAGCAGTGGCCTCTGTGCTCCCTCAGCACCCAGGGTTACCTCAATCATAGCCTCGATCTCAGTAACAGTCCATTTACCATTGATCTCTCCCAAAATCCAAGGGGTAACTCCAAAGCAGTGCCTCTTTCTCATACCTGCATTCCACACTCCTGACACAGAGTCTAACAGGTAAAAAGCACCTATTAGATGTTTAATAACAAAAGAATGAAGAGGACTACAGATTCTATGAAAATTCATTTCTGGTTTACTTTTGCACAGTGCCTGGCACAAAGCAGTTGCTTAGTAACTACGTGATAGTGCTGCACAGAATAAGGGACTGACTTACCAGGCCTGTGAAATGCTGCCAGCTCACAAGCCACCTCTTTGTGACATGCCTCTTATGAAGCTCAAGTGGAAATGAAGTGCCCCAACCCCTGTGCTTCCCTAGCATGGTGCCTGAGCCCCCTTATGGTATTTATGGCACTGTGCTTGCATTATAGTGATCAGTGAGTAGGGAAAGCATCTTGACTATCAATGTATCCCACGCAGCATATCGCCCATGGCCTGGCACAGAGTTAGGGCCCATAAGATGCTCACTGAATAGATATGAATGAGACAGAAGGACCGATCTGTATTTGGCAATGGCCAGCAGTGGGAGGCTGGAACAAGCTGGGCTTATACTTATCACCCATTCTCCCCACCAATGTTGGATTACCCAATAACCAAGGTAAGCATGGGCTTATTTGTTCTTACTTACTAATCTGTAGTGAACAATTTCACATTTTTTCACATCAAAGATCCTGCTTCTAGGTATGATTGACATCTGTCTCTCTCCCAACCCCACAGTACCCTCCTACAGAATGAAAGCTTCTTTTCAAATTTACAATCTATGGCAGGAATGGAGTACCCACTAAGCAAGTACGCATGGGCCTACTTACTAATCTGTAAGTGTACCTAAGCATGAGCACAAGTTAGTAGAGAGCACAACAGATTAGTAAACACAAGTAAGCCCATGCTCACCATGCTTAACAGGTGATCTGTCCCTGCTCCCCACTCCCTCCAAAACATTGCCTGGGAGTAAAATGAACTAGGGGCAGGTACATCAGAAGCCTTTGTCTAAAACACAAGGCTTCTCATTTGAAAAGTGCTTTATTCTTTTTAGAGCACTCACTGATTTCACCTTTACTACAAACTTGGGAGATGGAAGGACAGGACACTGTCAATCCTACTGTACAGCTGAGTGTGTGGCATCAGGTACTCAGAAATGCTAAGTGAAAGCCAGTCCCAGTAGGAAAATCTTGATTCAATCTTTTTTCCCCTAACAAGAGAACCTTCTTTTTGTCTTGACCTATACTTAATATATCCTAGTTACTTATTTTCCAGCATCTTCCTGTGGCATGCCAAGGGGCTTGGAGGCCAGGTGCTTTAGAACGTCCCCATTACAGGCCTCAGGGATGACTTTTTTTAAAAATTAGCTTTTTAAGAAAGGGTCGCTATGAGTCAGGTCCGACTCCATGGTAGTGAGTTTGGTTTTGGTTTACTGAGGTATAATTTACATACAATTAGATTTGCTCATTTCAAGTGTTCGATTCATTTTGACAAACATACATACCTATGCATCCACCATCATTATAACATATATACATACATATATATATGCTTATAGTTTCTTTTGGGTATAAAGTTCTATGAATTTTAAGGCCTGTGTAGATTTGGATAACCATCGTATCACAATAAGGATACTGAACAGTTCTATCACCCAAAAAAATTCCCTACATTGTCCCTCAGTAGTCAAACCCTCTCCTTATCACTACTCCTAGCATACACTAATCTATTTTCTACCCTATAATTTATATGTGTGTGTGTGTGTGTGTATGGGTTTTTCTCCCCCCACAAATCTAACATTAAAAAAAAATTCCTCACAATTCAGAAAACAAGTTGTTTAGACAGTAACTAGTTTTCAAGCAATAATTTACTTTGATTCTTTTGCTTTCAGATTAATGTTATACCTTATTCAGAAAACTTAATAATGACCTGGTTATGTTATTTACTGAAGTGAAATCAAGTTAACACATTTTAACATTGAGAAATGAATCATCATTATATAGTAGGCTAATCTTGGATAATTAAAAATATCATCCTATTGTGAAATAGGATGATAACATTCTGCAAACTGGACTTGTCTAAAACTAAAAGCACATTCATTAGGCATTTTCCTTCAAAAATAAAACAAACAACAACAACATAAAAAAAAACATTGATACTTCAGCCATTAAGTTTGTATATTATAAAACTGGAAATTAGTCATAAATGTGAAAGGTTTTTTTTTCCCAAACCCCAATTAAATCAAATTTAGTCAGGTGATCAGGGAGCTCTGGTAGCATAGTGCCTAAGGCACTTGACTGCTAACCAGAAGGCTTGTGGTTCAAACCTACCAGCCACTCCTTAGAAGGAAGGTTGGGCAATCTACTTCCGTAGGGGTATCACCTCGGAAACCCAAGGAGGGGTTGCTATGAGTCGGGTCCAACTAGACAGCACATAACAATAACAACAAGGCATTTGACAAGGAGCTCTGGTGACGTAGACTGCCAGAAGAATGCCAGTTCAAACTCACCAGCCACTCTGTGGAAGACTGGACAATCTATTTCTGTAAAGATTTACCACCTTGGAAGCCCCAAGGGGGTCACTATGAGTCAGAATTGACTGGATGGCAGGGTTTTTTTTTTTTTAATTGTGATTTACATGAAAGTTTACAGAGCAAATTCACTTTCCATACAGCAGTTCACATATACTTTGTCTCATTACATTGACTGCAATTTATCACAATGCAACAGCTCCCCTCCCACTTCCTCTCCATAGCTACCTCTTCCCTGTGTCCTTCCCTCCATGCACTCCTGGCCCCTAAGCTGTCTCCCTGTACATACACAGTCCTTCTATTCTCCCATGATTGTTCTCTCCAAGGAGTGTATCTACCTAATGTAAATGTTCAGCTCATATGCCTGTCTTTTGTTTGGCTGGAAGCCATAAGAGTGGGTTCAATTCCAGACCTGAAGGGCTGCTAGGGGTCATAGTCTTAGTGGTTCCATCAGGCTCTATCAAACCAGCAAACCTGATCCCCTTTTTTTTCTTTTTTTAAATGATTTTCAGTTTTGTTCCACATTGTTTTCCCACTCTATCCAGGATCTCCTACACAGATCCC